TTGACCCTGTAGAAAATATGGAGGTCAGTGATTGCTTATTTTGTGCTAAGCGACGTTTTAAAAATCAATAAGGCCTTCATTGATCAAGTTTTAAGTGATGGGAAGAAACAAGCTTTGGCACGCAGCGGCTGCACGTCAGGTACTGCGCTAAGCGTTTTACGGGCAGACCTAATTTAATCTCATGATGGCTTTAAGCATCAATATTTTAGTCTGCCTTTCTTAAAGATTTGGAAATGGATGCCTAATGAGAAAGCTTAAATAACTCACCTGAGGTCCTGTGGAGCTGCAGGAGTGAAACTGAGTCTGGTTTCCAAGTCCAGTGAAAAGTCTTTGCTTGGGTTGGAATAAGCTTTTCAAACAATCAATGTGTTTCAGTGGATTCTTAATGCTTAGGCAAATTTACTTTTATTAAAGGATTAAAGAAAGAGCCTCTTTCTTCCTCCACACTCCAAGTGAAAAGACTGGAGCTGAAGGAGACGATCGTTGTAGTTGATCACAATCAGGATCTATGTAATTCCAGGCTAGGTTCATAGCCTAGCAGCTAAGAGAGCTGGATCCCTTATGGCTAACCCCATGGTTCGAGTCCTTGACCCAGCAGCTTGAAAAACATACCACATACGTATGTGTGCATGCCTAAAACCCTGACAGGATAGAGAAACGATTGTGGTGTGATCACAACTCATCAGGGAGGTACTCTTTCCTCTCCCTTTCTTTCTCCTGACTCTCTGGTGAACACATATGCCCCCTGGCAAGTAAAAAAAAATATATATATATATACACACACACACAGACACACACACACACACACACACACATATATATATAGTATTGAGAAAAATCTCAAATTCTGGTATCTACCCCCATTTCCACCCCACTCCCCAGTCCTTTGGTGATTGGTGAAGTGATGGGTCATTAACATTTAAGCAGTTCGTGCCCAGACGGATTTGCGGATCCGGGCTATCTGGGTTGCTCAGTCCTCTCAAGTCCTGCTCAGGCTTCCAGTCCTCTGAGCATCCTTTTCTGATGCCATCGGCCCTGGCTGGTCTTTCTCCTCTCCTTTCTTTGGCATTTTCAGACGGGATTGACAGGTTAGCCCTTGCTACAGCTGCCTTACACTTTGGGTGTGTCTCTGTATCTGTGTCGTGTGGCTGCAACAAATTATAAACAAGTAAGGTGAAAGATCGTCTCATACACTTTATGTTTCTTTTTTTGGTGTCTTTCTTTCTTTCTTTCTTTCTTTCTTTTTCTTTCTTCCTTCCTTCCTTCCTTCCTTCCTTCCTTCCTTCCTTTCTTTCTTTCTTTCTCTCTCTCTCTCTCTCTCTCCTGTTTTCCAATTGCCAGAGGGCAAGTGTGCTCACCAGAAAGAGGATGTGGGGGGCACATGTGTACCCTCCAAACGGTGTGGTCACAGCTCACTCCTTTCCCCTCCATTTTGCCATCCTGCTAGGATTATGGGCACTCATGCACGTGCTCCTGGTACGTGTTTTCAGGCTGCCAGGGCTGAGATTGGAACCATGACTGGCTATCTGGCATCCAGTTTGTGAAGCTTAGCGGTTAACCACTGTACCATCCAGCCAGCTCCAGCTGTGTTTCCCTTTGACACACACAGTAGGTGTTCTTCCAGGCACGTAGTAGGTATAAATATTTGGAATGGAACTACAAAAACTGCCATGATCCCAACATATCTAGCTGCATTTTCTCAAGTGATGTAGAGGAACAATTAGGATGTATGGTTTATGCAGAATTAATTTTTTTTTTTTTATTTACCAGAGGGTGCTTGCACTCACGGGAGAAAGAAAAAGAGAAAGTGAGAAATTACTCCCCATGGGAGTAATTTCATCTCTCCCTCATTTCAGATTTTTTTTGATATTTGCCATCATGTGCCTTTGCTCACGAGAGAGAGAAAGAGAGAGAGAGAGAGAGAGAAAGTGAGAAATCACCTTGAGTGGAGTTGACTTTTGCCATCATGTGCCTTTGCTCACGAGAGGGGGTGGGGGGAGTGAGAAATCACCCTTGAGTGGAGTTGGCCACGCCACGATCCCTTCTCCTCTCTTCCCCTGTTGGGACACTGGGCAGGCACACATGTGTGCCTGGTGTGATTTTCAAGCTGCTGAGTCTGGGGCTCAAACCGTGGTCAGCCATGTGGGAGTCCAGCACCTTGACCACCACACTACTTACTGCCCTCCCTCCCCTTGGAGAATTTTGAGCACACATGCATATGCATCTGGCTTGTTTCTCAAGCTGGGTCTGGGACTCGAACCATGAGGACAGCCATGTGGAATCCATCTGCCCTAACCACCACAGCATGGGCTGGCCCTTAAGCTTTTTAGACTGGGGGCCGACCAGCAGGTTGTGTGGTGGTTGAGGTGGCTGATTCCCATGTGGCGGATGGCATGGTTAGAACTATGGACCTGATGCCTTGAGAAACATGCCAGGCACATGTGCATACATGGCCAAAACCCCAAGAGGAGAGTGGACGAGACAGGATTGCAGCGTGGCTGTCCCCTGTGGAAATACCTTTTCTCTCTCTGGCAAGTGCACCCACCCTGTAGCAAAGTGCACCCACCCTGTAGCAAATTAAAAAAAAAATTTTTTTTTTTTGAATGGGTAATACATTCCCATGGTTCAAAGTGAAAAAACATAATGTATGCTCTATTTTCATGATCCAATGAAAATCTCTTTCTTCCTCTGTTACTACCCTTACAGTCTCTACTTGTCCACAAATAAGCAAGTAATTAGTTGTGGTCTATCTTTCCTGATGGTGTTTGTGTTTTGAATGATTTCTTTTTTTTTTTTTTTGAAGAGATTTTCACTGTAGGGCGCGTGCGCTGGCCAACATAATGTATGCTCTATTTTCATGATCCAATGAAAATCTCTTTCTTTCTCTGTTACTACCCTTACAATCTCTGCTTGTCCACAAATAAGCAAGTAATTAGTTGTGGTCTATCTTTCCTGATGGTGTTTGTGTTTTGAATGATTTCTTTAAGCCATTTTAAAGTGAATAACTCTTGAAAACCCTCTGCACACACTAAAATGATTCTGTAATTCATTTCTTTCTTCCTTTTTTAAATTAACTGTATAAATTAGAGAGATTTTTCTAGATCTACTCAGAGAGACCTTTCTCCTCTTACTACTTTTCAGTACTATTCCATTATGTAGGTGTTCCATAATTTATTTAACTGTCTCACACCAGTGGACATTTGGGTCGTGTGCCATCGTTGGCCATTAGCCATGCTGCTCAGTGACGAACAGGGACATCTGGCATTTTGCATGGGTGCAGGTATATCTGGAAGATACGTTCCCAGACAGGAGACTGCCGGGGTACAGGGGAGTGCATTTGTGACAGTGACAGTTCTGCCAGATTGCCCACTCCAGGGGTTTCTGTCTCCTCCTACTTCCCCAAAGCTGTTTCTCTGTGGCCCTGTCGACAGATTGCGTATTTCAACTTAAGAGTTTTCCCAATCTGGTAGGTGAAAGATGGTATCTAAATATAGCTTGAATTTATGTTTATCTTAAGAGTACAGTTGAACATAGTTTCATGTAGCTTAATTAATTTATTTATTTTGGTGAACTATCTGTTCACATTAATAAGAGTTTAATTTTCAAGTCATATTTTTTCCTTCTTTCTCTTATAAGAGAGGTCAGATGCTCTTGACAGGGTCTCATCTTGCTGTGATTGTCCCACCCCCAGCCTTCCAGCTAGCTGAGATCCTGGGTGTATTGTGTCCCTCGTGAGTCTGGCTGACCCAGGATTTGAACTTAGGGCCTCCCATATGGCTCCAGTAGCACACTGCTGCACATTATTGCCTGCCTCACCATGGCTGGGCTAGTAGATTAATTTTAATTGTAGTTTGCAGCTCTATATTTTTTCTAGCTTATCATTTGTCTTCATTTGTGGTAGTAGTGGTTTTTTGGTTTATCTCCCTTGCAGAAGTGTTCAGTTTTTAGGTACTCAAATGAATCAAGCTTTTCTTTTATGGCATTTGGATTTCAAAGTGTTAGGCCTTCCCTACCTCTTGGCTACATTTTTCATCTAATGCTTTTTTTTTTTTTCCTTACATCTTTGATCTTTTTGGGGTCTTTGATCTGAGAGATGAATCCAACTTTGTTTTTCAGATAGCTGCAGTTATCTCTGCACCACTTCAAGAAAAATTTATCTCTACTAAGTTGAGGTGCCATCTTTTTTCCCCCAAAATTTATTGATTTGATTCCATTTATTACTATTTTTCTAATTTAACCAGAGAGAGAATGAGAGAAAGGGAAAGTGTGAAACCAAGCTACCAGGTTCGGGATTCAAACCACAACCATGTATTTTAACCACCACGCCTCCTGCTGGCCCCTTGAGACGCCATCTTGACTGTCCTGTGGGTTATATATTAATACAACGATAGGATGAGCCATAAATGCTGAACTGACCAATGAGGATTAACTGGTGGATAATTTAGTTCACTTCTTCATGCACAAAACAGTCATTCAGCACTTAGTAAATTGAACGATCATTATATGCCACTTCCTGGGGACTATCAAGATGAGTGTGAGAGACTCTATAAAAATAGTTAGACAGTGAATATGGTTTTAATGCAGTGGAATAAGTAGCACAGAGGTCAAGACAGCCAGGGAGATGCTTCACGGAGCAGCGAACACCAAGCTGAAGGTTCAGAGAAGTTTGCCAGCCAACGGGGAAGGGCATTGGAGGAAGAAGGAATAGGAAGTGTAGAGGCATGGTATTTTGGGGCTAGGGAGATTTTGGAGAGCTACTCCTGGCCATAGTGTAGGATAAGAGACACAACTGGAAATGAGACCGAAGGACCGTTTATAGGAATTGTCTTTCTTAAGTGTCTGTGGGATTTAGGCATGGAGTGTTGTTATAGGCATGCCCTCCTGCCTTCATCCCTTTAAACAGATGGAGGGGAGTGATTGAGCCAAAATAACTGGAAGCCAACACTTGGTTGTATTCTGCAGGTCAGTTGTTGAGTTTTGACACCTGTTGCTTATTCTAGAGTGCTCCAAGCTCCCGAAGCCGAAGTCTCACTTTGCTCCCCCATGGAACACCCAATTCTGCGTCTCCCTGTAGCCAGAGACACCTCAGTGCGGGGGCCCCCGGTGTTGTCACAATCACGCATCACAAGTCGCCTGCAGCTGCCCGAAGAGCCAAGAGTCAGTATCCTGGCCAGCTTCACGAAGTCAGAGAGGTAGGCTTTGCTCTCTCCTAGGCTAAGTGACCCGTGGAGGTGGGGGCTGTGATTGTTACTCTGCCAGCTCCTCTTCCTTTGTACCATCTTGACTTATGAAGAGAGAGGACCAGCAGCAAACCTCCCGGACACACAGCCATGGTTTTAACGAAGAATTAACTCTCAGGGTAAGCAGGTGATTAGGAGGCTTCTGTCAGAGCTTAGAAAGAAGAAGACATGAGCCCTCAAAAATGTGGGTGTAAACAGGAGTGAGTCATTTAAAATCCCAATGCTCATAGCGAAGACAGGACAGTCCAAACTCTTGACCAAATCAGCTAACTTAAGGTGTTTTGATACTCAGCAATGGGTAGACCTAAAAGTTAGCAATTTCCTCTGTTCTACCCTACCTCACTTTCTCTCTGTCTCTGTCTCTGTCTCTCTCTCTCTCTCTCACACACACACACACACACAATTTTTTTAATTGATAGAGAGTCGATGCTCACCAGAGAGAGAGAAAGCAAGCACCCCCTAGTGGGGCATGGCCATGCCACAATCCTTCCTCCTGACAGAATGTTGTGCATGCACACACATGTGACTGGTCTGTTTTTCAGGCCACTGGGAGGTGGATTTGAACTATGGCCAGCCATGTGGGATCCAGCTCCCAATGCACAGTGCTTAATCACTGCACAGAGGGGCTAGCCTTGCCCTGTTTGCTTTCTTTAAGAAGTGCTTACCTCCTCCTACCCTCAGAGACATACTCCAAGGCAGGAAAACAACACTGTCTTTTCAATCAGGAGACTGTTAGAGCAAGGCTTCTAGCACCTCTGAACCTCAATTTCTACATTTGTAAAATGAAAAAACTGGCGTAGGCAACCTCTCAGGGGAAATACAGGATCATTCATAATAATGAACCGTGTCTTCTCAGAGCGATGGGAGGTTATGCTTTATTTTTGCTGTGAATACACTGGGAAGTTATCCATTTGAGGATCCCAGATCCTTAGTATTATCTTCCTTTACAACTGTTACGGAGAGCAGAGTATCCGAAGTAACTGCCATTGGTCTTGGGTGCCTAACTTCTCTCGAGTGCCTTTTTTAAGTTTTATTTTTGCCATAAGGCACATGCACTCCCCGGAGAGAGACAGACAGAGGGAAAGTGAGAAATCCACCCCCCTACCCCAGCCACGGGGATGGCCATGCCACAATCCCTTCTCCTCTAATCTCTGTTTAGGATTTGGGGCACACATGCACACATGCCCAGTGTGATTTTCAAGCTTCTAGGTCCAGGGCTCGAACCATGGTTGGCCATATGCGAGTCTAGTGCGTTAACCACCGTACCACCTACGGCCCCCAGTCCTGGGGTTTTTGTCCTGCAGCTTGCTTGGATACAGAGTAGTTCACCGTCCTCTTAGAGCAGGTAACAGAGCCCTTCCTCTGTCACACTGGAGAGTGGGACTTTTAGACCAGAGTCTGCTGCTACTTAAGTCAGCATGCATTTAACTTCCTTTTTTACATGCCATGAAGCACACAGTATTCTATTGGCTGAGTGTCTTGGTCTGAAGCTGGGCCAGACAGAAAATTCCCAAATCTTCAGAAGCCAATCTGTAGATGCATATGAACGACACTTTTTTTCTTGATAGATTTTACATGTATATTCTCTGTACTGCTTGCTAAAGAAAAGATAGAGCCAGAATTCTTTTTTCATTTTCATGTAGAATACTCACTATGAAATAGTTATCCTGATATGTAAATTAAAGAAAAATGACTATTAACTTAATTTATTATGGTGGCCGTAACGGTGAACGATTCTGCCCATGTATATGTGTCATCGTCTTCTTCTTCTTTTTTTTTTTTTATTTGCTATTGGATACACGTGCTCTCTGGACTGACTGAGAAGGGTCAGGGAGTCAGAAAGCACCCTCTGGAGCAATGGCCACCCCACAATCCCTCTCCTCCATTTTCTTCTTGGGATTTTGGGCATGAATGCCTGTGTACCTCGTGTGTTTATCAAGCCTCCAGGTCCAGGACTCACACGACACAGTTGGCCTTCTGGGATCCAGCAACCTTAGCATTGATGTCACTGGCTGGCCTGCTTTTGTTTTTTATGGCACTTTTGGAAAGCACTTATGGAAGACTTCAAATGCACACAGAATAGCAGAGTAAGGTACCCATGTACCAGTCACCCAACCTCAGCCGTTTCAACTTCCTATTCTTGTTTCATTTGTTTTTATTTTCCACTCACCACCCTTCCTCTTGCCAGAATATTTTTTAGAAAAACGTTAAACATCATTTCATCATTATCGCTGAGTGTATTAGATAAATGTAACAGGAAGTTTCTATAAAACTTAATTATGAATGATACCATCATCTTGCTGAGTCTAGTATTTTAGAGACTATAGCCTTTTTTTCTTTAAAGGCTGTTATAAGATCAAGGTATTTTGAGAATTCTTTTCATTGTAACGAATCCCTGTTAATCTTTCTGTTATAAATGCAGATAGGCAGCCTGTGTATATGGGGAAAAGTTAATTAGTGATCGGTGGGCGAAATAAAAGTTGAAGCACTTTGGCTTGATGTCTAGTAGCATTAGATGCATTTTAATGCCAAAGTTTATTTTTAACCTCCATTTATGATAAAGTCAGCTTTTAAAAGAATAAAAATATTTGGGACCAGCAGTTAGCATAATGGCTATGTTTCTGGACTCCCACATAGTCAGCCGCGGTTCGAGTCCCGGACCCGGTGGCTTAAACTCACGCCAGGCACGTGTGCGTGTGTGCCCAAGATCCCGAGAGGAGAACGGAGGAGAAGGGATTGCGGTGTGGCTATCCCCCCTAGGGGGTGATTTCTCACTTTCTGTCTCTCTGTCTCTCTCTGTCTGGTGAGCGCACGCACCCTATAGCAAAAACCCCTCCAAAAAAAGAAAAAAATGAATAAAAATATTTTTATGTACATGTATGTATAGAGGTGTTTAATTATGGATATAATGCAAATGTGTATTGCAAAAAAAAAGTATAAAGAAGAAAACCAAAATTACCCATCATCCTGCTTCCCTATTGATAACCACTATTAATCCTTCAAAGAATTACGTCCAGATTTTTTTCCCTATATGGTACATATATAGTTACGTAAAAATTATTTATATAGTATGCTTTAAAGTTTGCAAGTGGTGTTGTACACGCTTTTTTCTTGATCACATATCATGGTTTTCATTCCATTATCTATCTAAGGGAGACATTATTGAAATGGCCCATGGAGTTTCATTATATGAAAAATATGAAATGTCTCCAAAGTGCTGGTTTGTTTTTGTTGTTTGTTTATTCACTCCTGGGTGACAGGATATCTCTTCTGGTGATTGCTTTTGTAAGTAGATGACCTTCCTTGCTGAAAAGTAATTTTAAGTGAAATTGGCAGTGGGGAGAATTTTAGGGTGTAAAACCCTTCTAGGGTGAGCTGAAAGTTTCAATACTCAGTTAACAGTCTACCCTCACTCCTGACCCAAGAAGGTGGCTGTTTCATGAAATCTGTCATTTTAGGGTGTGAATAGGTCCACCTTGGGAACTTCCGAACAAATCTCATCCACACTGGAAAGTTTTGCAGCTCTTCATTTCAGAGTATAAAGTCCTCTGCTCTCGGTTTCCACCATGTTTATCTCTGAAATAACCAGAAGAAAATGGAATGGCATTTTTAACCCAGCTGTACAGGGAAGATAAACTTATGACCACTGAAGCAATGGAGAAAATCATCGTACGCAAAGATAGATGTGCCAGAATATCAGAAGAAGAAAAGAAAAATAGCCCATCCGAAGGCAGGAGGATAAATATTCAATGGAATGCCACAGCATAGGAGAAAAGAATGGGACCATTTAAAAGATTAAATGGGTATCATCCAAAATATAAAGAATTGAAATGCCAAAGGTCAGAACCCAAAGTCCTCCCAGGAAGTGGTTCGGAGAGGCGAGCACAGAGGATCTGAGACAGTATTATCAAAGGGACAGGCTTACCCTCACTAGCCACTCAGGGAGAGAAAATGGAGACAACTTTGTCTGAGAAATTAACAGAATGGATTCTAACCCATACTTGCTTGGGATGTTAAGAAATGTTGTAGTATTGTATGTTGTCTTTTTGCCACAATCTGGGGATAGATAATAAAAACAAAACACATAAAAACCAGAACAATGCATTGCCATAAATTCCCCTTCGGGAACTATATCCTGAGGAAACAATTCCTGAATGGGAAGTAGGAGAAAGAAAGCTAATTTGGATAAAGCGATTTACACTAATAAAGTCATAGATCCAATGCAAAACCTTACGGGCATGGCTGAATAATCGATCATGTATTCAAAATACTGAAATACTATATAGGGATTTCAGCTAAAAGTTAAATCAGTCTTCCTACATGGACGTGCGTATATACAAGAAATAATCGAGGGCCAGCAGGTGGTGTGGTGGTTGAGGGCGCTGGATTCCCCTATGGCTGACCGTGGTTTGAGTCCCGGACCTGGTGGCTTGCTTTCTCACTTTCTCTCTCTCTCTAACCCTATCCCTCTCTAGTCAAATTAAAATAAATAAATAAATAAATAAATAAATAAATAAATAAAGTTAAATGAAAACAACAATAAAAGAAATAATTAGTATGTGGAGTAATATGTACAACATTAGACTCTATGTCTATCTTATAAATGCCAGAAGTTGTTTAAAACTGTAGTTCCCAGAATTTTGAATTTTACTCACGAACTAGTTTAGATACAGAATTTTGGAGAAACATAGTATTGCAATATTTAAATTAAAACAAAACAGAACAAAACAATTTTTAAAACACAGTGTCAACCCATGGTTTTCACTGTCTCATAAAAGCGCGGTAATTTCCAACACCCTCCCCCCCACACACACACACACAAATAAAAGCCAGAATAAAGCGCCATTTGTTGCACTAAATATGTTTTATGAAAACCCTACTGCATTTTTCCTGTTTTTAATATTTCATCTTGGGGGACCAGCAGGTGGCGTGGTGGTTAAGGTGCTGAACTG